AAATATATTGAAGGGGGCTCCTGGGTAATTGTAGATAATAGCCAAGTTCTGCGGCAATGTAAATATGTTATGAGGGAACATGCAAGAAAAGCAACTGATGAGAGAAGTTGGTACTAGCTTCTTTCATAAAAAAAAAAAGTTGGTACTAGCTTCAAATGGGTTCAGACTTCAGAGGCTAAACAAGGGGTGGATTTGTAATGTTTCATTGGAAAAGTGGGTTACTAATCAAATATGAAGAAATGGTGGGCTACCAATCAAATATGAAGAAATCACATCTTGCATAAGCATGGTATCACTCCATTCTCATTGAGCATCACAACTACTCTTCAAAATATTGCTTTTTGGTATAAAAATGAAAGACTCGATCTTCAATATGCTATGAAACTCAGAAAATATAAGCTTGTATATATATATATATATACTGAAAATCAGTAAGTTTTAAAATTTCCTATGCAATCTTAAGGTTATGGAGATTCCACTAGGGCAGAGCCTTTAGCAGTCCTACATGAATTAGGTTTTACGCAGGGACCTTAATCACATTTGCGCCCCACATGCATATCTCAGCGTGCATTGGGAATATCTCCTGCACTTCTCATAGGAAGATGTTAGATGTTCCCAATACACATTTGGGATGTGTTGTGGGGCGCATAATGTGGGGCACCAATGTGATCTCGGTGGAGGGGGTTTCCAAGGTGGTGGTGTGCTGGTTAAGGAAGAATGCTCCGGGAACATGGAAATTTAGATACTTGTTGAGGGAAGTCAGATTATTGGCAGAAGAATTGCTATTTTGCTAGCCACTTTCCATTGGGATTTCCTAGAACTCTAGAAGTGCAAATTGCATGGCTAATACATTAGCAAGACAAGGAGTAAGTAAATCACATCTCTTTTGGGGGCTTGTTCCAGGGGGAAAATAATGTAAAGCGTATGGGATGGGCAGTGAATGGTAGTCTACAACTGAACATATCACTTTGTAAATTTGTGAACCATTCTTTTATATAAATTAATAGAACTCTTTGATTGTCACTGATCAGAAAAAGAAAAATTGTAATGTCTTTATCTTGAACCATGCCACAACCCTCCAAATCCAACCAAGAATTGCAGGGAGAAAGTTATTTTTAATTAAAGTGCAACTCCTGTAAAATTTTTCTCCAATCAATTTGATCTCTCAAGCCTAAGGGCCCGCTTGGCAAGTCTTTTTGGGAAGATCTTCTGGTAGCTCTGACAGTCAAAAGACGCATTGAGCTTTTGCATGAAGATCTGAGCAGCTCGAAACTAGTTTGGCAGACACACATCTTTCCGTGTCTTTTCGCACAAGAATAAAACGCGAAAGACGCGAAAAGCTTCATTTGAAGCTTCCCGAAATCAGCCCAAAATGGGCTTCTCACGTCTTTTCGGCGCTCTGGCTTTTGGTGGCTAGATCTTCTGCGTACCAAATGGAAATAGACCAAAAATCGGTCTGCCCGGCTTGTAAACAGCTGAAAGACCGTGCGAAAAGACATGCCAAACGGGCTCTAAATAAACACCTCAACCCAAAGGTAATTAGCAAAATAATTAATGATGCTGCCATTGATTTCTGGCCCATGTGCAATTCATTTTTTTTTGATAAATAACATCAATTCCATTAAAATAATGAATAGATACATCAATTCCATTAAAACAATGCTGCCATCAATTGCCTGGCCCATATGCAATTCATTTTTTTTCATGAGTTGCAAACAATTTTTATGCATTACTTATAATAAGAGGGAAAGTTCTATACCCTTTTATCTACTCTCTTACATTTTCAATTCCAATTATGTATTACTGATAACAAAAAAAGGGACTTGAGTGTTTCTTCTCTACATTATTAATTCCAATTTGTCCCCATAAATTTTTATACTTTTTCACCACACTATTCTCTTTACCTACTCATTTCATCCTTTCCTTGGAGAAGCACTTGGTTTGCCACTTTCTCCAGTTGTTTTCTTGCTCTAAGAAGCCTAACATGTCTGTCTTCTTTGTTTTGGCTGATTGCACCTGCCTTCATGTGTTGATTCAACATATTGCTAACATGCATTTTTTATCCTATCATTTTCTTTTTGTCCTCTTATCTGTCTGATCATTCTTTCTCATTTTTTTAACTATCTCATATTCTTCTTTGCTTCTCTCCTCTTCTGTTAAAAGTTAACTTTCCTTGGAGTTTATATGTTTTTGTACCTGTTTAATTTCATATCAATAAAATCTTTTAGTCTCTTTATCAATAAGAAAAACCTAAAAATTCTTCAGATCCAAAACCTAAGAAAGTGTGAGAGACTAAACATGTGTAGTCATTTTAACTCATCAGTTCATTGTCTCCATATTTTATAATCTTGGGTTTGTTGGAAAGCTTGGTAAGCAATCACTCCCAAAGTACTAAATGGAGGTGTCTTTATCACATCTTGACACAAATGGTTGTAATTGAATAGCATCACTTGGATCCATATATACTTTATACTGCCATGTTGCAGTGGATATTTGTTGGTTGTATTTTTTTTTTGAGAAAAAGGTAAAGTAATATATTAGTCAAAAGCAATAACCAAATCTGCACAACCAGGAGCTATGCAGTGCTCAATCAGTAGCTGTACATCAAACTAAAAGATTACTCGGTATGCATAGATGCAAAAAGAACTCCAGGATTACAAAAGGAGCTTATGAGACCCTATCCATGAATACATCCAACCCCAAAAACCTTTACATAAATTATCCTCTGAAACATACATATTTTCGAACATTCTTTTGTTTCTTTCTGTCCATATTGTCCAGATCACTAAAGCTGGACCTGCTCTCCAAATTACCTTGCCTTTTTTCAAAAGCCCCTTCAGATGCCAACTCTGAAGAACTGCTAGCACATTTTCTGGGAAACAAAACTGAGCTTCAAACAGCCCCAAAAACCTTGTCCAGAGGAGGCGAGCAACTCTGCAACGAATTAGTAAATGTTCCAAGTCCTCAGATGCTTCCCCACACATAATGCACTTGCTAGGCAACACACTCATCTCCCTTCTGGCCAGAACCTCAGCTGTCAAACATTTACCTGACACTGCCACCCATAGTAAAAATGCAGCTTTTGGAGGGGCAGCAGATTTTCATACAACAGCTTCTGGGAAATCCACCACCTCCACCTCCGCGAGTTTGTTATAGAAGGTCTTACTGTGAAACATCCTTCTTTATCCCACTTAATTATCCTATCTCTGTCTATGGAGCCAGGAGTTATACCTGATAGCTGCTGCATCAACTCCATCCACTCCCAACCTCCCAATCTTTTAAATTCCTTCTGAACACCGAATACCAAACTGCAGAATCTCCTACCTGAGGGTCACTGCTAATGATTTCTAGGTGAAGAAGATGAAGCCATTTACACTCATTAATGTTTCACTTTCCATTAGGTGCTGTAAGATTCTGAAGTGGTCTGAAGTTCTAATTTCACTTTCCTTGCCCATTTTAGATTTCTAGTCTCCAGCTTGCTAATACCTCGTCATGAAAGTATAGAACAACACTAGTTTTCTTTTATTAAAATGCATAGTTTTCATCCATGAGACCATGAATCACATGTTGTATACTTGTAGCCTTTTTCCCTTTAGAACTTTCTTCACCGATCTGATTATTTCAATGGGAAATGATCACTATAATATAAGCATACCGCATACCAATAAAATAATAGGTCCTTTGTTGCAGTAAAGTGCGGGGTATGCAGTAGCAATTCTGCTTTTCCTTGCCTTGTAAGGGGCCAGGGTGCAATTGGGAATAAAGTAAATATCAGGTTTAGGACACTTGAGCTGTGGTTAGTGGATTGTTGTGAAATATCAAATATATATTTATGAATGTGGGGCTAAGAGTTTATTTGTCAGGTGTTAGTGGTTTATGGGCCTAAACTCCTAATACCAATGGGTGGTGCAGGCCTTGATTTTGAACTTGCATCAATTTATGTTTTCGGCATTAGAGCTTGCACTACATTTGGTTTCACTTTGTCATGGTTTTAAACTAATAAAAAATTCAATTTCTTTTTCACCAAAACATTTCTATTATTCATGACAACTTAAACAAAATTTTCCTGATCAAAGTTTTGGCTAGAATTTGATAAGTTTCCATTAAATTTTAATTTTGTTTTGATGGTTTTAACTGAAATGTTACACTCACAGCAGAAGAAATGTATAAATGTTGATCTAAATGTATAGTTGTTTCAACTTTCAACTGAAGCTCTAAGGCAGAGTTTGGGAGTGCTTATTCTAATAAGCGGCCATGAGTGTTTGGTGAAAAAGCACTTTTTCAAACAGGGGTAGTATAAGTATTTTCAAAATGATGTGGTGGGCCAAGACAGGCCAGAAAGGAAATAAGCACTTAAAATAAGCCCAAAATTTGGGCTTCTTGGATAAGCACTTATTCAGGCATATTTTCCAAATGCAAATAAGTGCTTATCAGTGTGGTCCTGGCCCAAAACAAGTGCTTATTTTGAATAAGCACTTATTTTTAATCACTCGCAAACTTGGCCTAAATTACATTGATCTTAATAACATTAGACTTATTACTTATATTGTAACTTGTTTTATTTGTTATGTCCTATTTTTCCTGTTTCAAACACTTTTTTGGTGGTAAAATGAGCCTTAAGCATGTAGAAGTTACTTGTTCTGTTTGTTTTCTAAATTTTAACTTAATTTTCTAATATTTTTAATGTTTCCCATTGTTTCCATAATTTTATAATGTTCCCATGAATTCTACATAAACTTTCACGAATTAATTCTGCCTCATAGGGGCCAAAATTTACATAAACCTAGTTTAAAACTTTGGATGCACTTGCACTTTCATCTATGTTGAATTCAGTTTCAGGGTTTGGCCTGGCATGTTTGTACTTATTTTTGGGGACTTAAAAGAAGTTGGCTGCTGTGGCTTAACAAATGCCTTTTGTCTTTCCATTATTGTAATCTGATTTTTATGCTCTTATCATAGTAGCTAATGGCTTCTGCAATTGTTCTTTGATTGTGATTTAGGGTGATACACTTTATTTGTTTTACGAAACCAAGAACCCAATAACTTTGCAAGGAGATATTGGAGTTGCAAAAAGTACCGACAAGGGTGCAACATGGCAGCACTTGGGTGTTGCCTTAGATGAGGATTGGCATCTCTCATATCCATATGTTTTCAATTATCTTGGCCAAGTAAGATCAACACTTCCGGTTTATCTGTTCTCAATCTTTTGCTCTCTCACTCCCCCCCCCCCCCAGGAGCCTAAAGTTGATTTGTTTTATTATTATTCTATTTCCAACAGATATACATGATGCCTGAGAGCAGTCAGAAGGGTGAACTCCGCCTATATCGTGCACTTAACTTCCCCTTACAATGGACACTGCACAAGGTTATCCTGAAGAAACCCCTTGTGGATTCCTTTATCATAAACTATAATGGAAATTACTGGCTCTTTGGTTCAGATCACAGTGGTTTTGGAACCAAGAAGAATGGTGAATTAGAAATCTGGTATAGTACCTCACCTCTTGGTCCTTGGAAACCACACAAGCAGAACCCTATTTATAACACTGATAAGAGCCTGGGAGCTCGGAATGGAGGCAGGCCATTTATATACAATGGAAATCTCTACCGTATGGGTCAAGACTGTGGGGAAACTTACGGGCGACGAGTCCGTGCCTTCAAGGTGGAAGTTCTAACGAAAGATGAATACAAGGAAGTTGAGGTCCCACTAGGGATGGAAGAGCCACAGAAGGGCCGAAATGCTTGGAACGGTGCTCGTTACCACCACCTAGATGCGCAACAGCTAAGCTCTGGCGAGTGGATTGGAGTTATGGATGGAGATCGAGTTCCTTCAGGGGATTCTGTTCACAGGTTTATCCTAGGCTCTGCTTCATTTGCAGCTGTGGCTGCATTGGTTGTTCTTGTGGGAGTATTGCTAGGTGCTGTTAAATGCATTATCCCACTTAGCTGGTGCCCTGACAGCTCTGTTAAGAGAAGTGATTCCTTTTCAGCCTGGGAGCACTCGCATTTGTTCTCATCAAAGCTGAGGCGGTTTTGTACTCGTTTGAATCGTGCAAGTTCTTTTGTTAGAGGCCGAATGAAGCTCAACAGTTGTGCTGGAAAATCAGTTCTGACATTAATATTTGTAATAGGAGTGGTACTGATGTGCACAGGGGTTAAATATATATATGGTGGTAGTGGTGCAGAAGAACCTTATCCTTGGAAGGGCCACTATTCACAATTCACATTACTAACAATGACTTACGAAGCTCGTTTGTGGAATCTGAAAATGTATGTCAAACACTACTCAAGGTGTTCATCAGTGAAGGAAATTGTTGTTGTGTGGAACAAGGGCCAGCCCCCTGAATTGAGTGACTTGGACTCTGTGGTTCCTGTTAGGATCAGAATGGAAAAGCAGAACTCACTTAACAATCGCTTCAAGGTGGATCCACTAATAAAGACCAAGGCTGTTCTTGAGCTTGACGATGACATCATGATGACATGTGATGATGTTGAACGAGGGTTTAGGGTATGGCGGGAGCACCCAGATAGGATTGTTGGTTTCTACCCTCGACTCATCGATGGGAACCCATTGAAATACAGGGATGAGAAATATGCCCGAACTCACAAGGGGTACAACATGATATTGACAGGAGCTGCTTTCGTTGACAGTAAAGTAGCATTTGAGAGGTATTGGAGTGAGGAAGCCAAAGCAGGAAGGGAGGTGGTGGACAAGTACTTCAACTGTGAGGATGTGCTTCTGAATTTCTTGTATGCAAATGCTAGTTCATCAAGGACAGTTGAGTATGTGAAGCCTGCATGGGCCATTGATACATCGAAGTTTTCTGGTGCAGCAATCAGCCGGAACACACAGGTGCATTACCGGATAAGAAGTGATTGCCTTCTCAAGTTCTCAAAGATGTATGGCAATCTAGCTAATAGGAAATGGGAATTTGATGGTCGGCAGGATGGTTGGGATGTATAGGCAGAAGGATTCTAACAACAGGTCACTTAACCACCTCTCTTTTTTATTCTTTCTTCTCCTTTTCTCTTTTCTTATATTTTTTCTATATTTTTTTTCTTGTAAACTCTATCTTTTTTCTTTTATTTTTTGGGTTTGTTTTGGGGGCATCGGTAGCTTTAGTTAGTCAATGTACATGTTTGAATCATGTCTTCTTTACTTCTTTTTGGGTGGGGGATGGTGAAATCAGAAATGTGAATTTGGTTAAGAAGGATTTGTTTTGTTGGATGTTGGCACTCTAGAGGCAGAAAGAAAAATCACAGTTTTAATTATCTGTTTTCTGACCGGTTTAAGTGCTGCTTCTGGTTGAAGGCTCTTTGGGACTTCATAAGCAACGTGGGCCATGACCCATGAGTATGAGGTATTAAAACCTTGGAAAAGGGGGAGGAGATGCGCAGCGCAGATTCTGTGAAACTTGTTTCACAAAATAAAACTCTTGGTTGAAGATTTTTTGTTATTAAATCACAAGAAATTTTTTATACAATTTATTGAAATTTCCCGTATCCAGTTCATGCCTGTATGTATTTGGCTAATCTTAGAAAAGGCTAAAGTGTTCCATTAATTACTGAAGTAAAATGGTTTCCTCCCTTCTTAGTAGGACTTTCAATGGACTGAATATTGGTGTAACCCGATTCGGTCCAATATGAGTCCATGATAGATGGATCAGGTCCAATCCAATCCGATAAATATTTTGGACTGAAGTGGTCTAATTTAATGTTGTATTGAATCATCCAATCTGTTCAAATTGGTTTTAAATCAGATTGTGTTCAACCTGGTCCATTGAGACCTCTACTCTTCTGTCAATAGATTGGCAACTCAACCCAGTCTGAAATAAATTCATTACAGATGGAGAAGTTATTTTTTAAAGCTTAAACAAACAGTTAGGCATTTTTTCACTGTTACGCTGATGTGGTGTCTAATTGTCATAAATGATTGTAATTATTATCTTTTTTGGTTTTACAATTAAATAAAGTATACACTTTGAATGAAAAAACGTAAATGGAATCAAACACATACTATGTCTGATTGTACTGTCCAACCCAAATCCCGTCCATTGACACCTCTATCCCTAAGGAAACTAGTCTCTGAGTTCAAAGAAGGTAAGCAAAGAGAGATTGGGTTATTGTAAGCACTGCTATCCATATCAATGGATACAACATTCTATACTTAAGTTTGTTTAGAGACAATTTAGATCAAACCAAGATCAGTCCTATTCCTCAACGTTTTTGAACCACTGTTGACCCGGATGATCGGACCGTTCGGCCTGGGAACCGTCCAAGCAACTGGTTTCGTTTTACCTAAAACCCGGAATCTGGTAAAAAACTGTTGAAAAAGTCAATAAACCGTTGAGTTGGGTGGTTGAACTATTGACCCGTTCAATGGTTTTTGGCCGTTTTTATTTTTTTAATTTTGCTGTCAGAATGGGCCGTTCATTTGAATCAGACGGTTGGACCATTAAACTGGAAACCGGTGCCCAGAACGGTTCCATTTCCGAGTCGTTTTTTAAAACGTTGCTATTCCTTATTAGCAAGTTCATGTATTAAACATTGGTCAAATGTGTTATTTTAGGTAAAAAATAGTATCAAATGCTGACTTGGTATGTTTTTGCCTTTTATTTTAATTTTAATGTAAATTTCAGCACGATTGGAGTAATTTTTGAAGAAAAATGTTCTAGATTTTAAAATAGTAAAAATAGGGGATGATATCCAATATTTATTAAGGCTCGATTTGGAAGGAATGCAAATACAAATATGTACAATACAAAGCCTTATGTTTTGTATTTCTAAACGAGTATAGTATTTGCACTCCTTTCGGGAACACAAACTAAATCATTGGTCAAAAGAGCATGCTTTAAATGACAATATCAATCCCCACCATGTACTCCAGCAGATCTTAGCAATCCCCAATCCCCATCCCCCACTCACTCACAAAAGGATGAGCTCTGGTTGTAATTGCAATTTGGGGTGATTTGTGCTGAGCATTTATCAAAATTTAAAAGGGGCTCTGGCCCAATGCTTTGTAAGTTTTTCAAATTGGACACCCGACTTTCAACCTGGGGCCCTAACCTGATTGGCCTTTATTCTGTTAGTGTTAACTCAACCACTAAACTAAAGGCAGTTTGGCCAACAAAGGATCAAAATCTCATTAAACCAATGAAATCAATTAGGAAAGTCAAAGTGCTACCCTAAAATTAAGACACTAGCATTTTCTAAAAAGCAAATTTCCAATGAATGATGTACTACAACAAAGTGGATGTGGATCCCCTGTGCAAAATTTGTGGGGAGAGCCCAGAGAGTGAGGCCCATTTTTCTTGGGACTGCAGTTGTGGCTTCTTCTAAGACCATTGTGTCTTGCGCCATTAGAGGATGATTGTGTGCTGACTTAGAGGTCGTTAATATTATTTTTATATTTCATGAATTTGGGCCCTTTGCTCAGCCCAAAGAGTAGAATCTGAAATAAAAAATGATGATGCGTTATCCGGCCGGTCCAAGTTGTTAACGACCTTGCCTCTGAACTGAGTAGCGGGGAACCTGAAATGGAGGAGATGAGAAAGCTCCAGGGAGAACCCGGTGTAAAGGCTCCGAAGCTTAAGTTAGAATCCTTCAAAGGCAAGATAAACCAAATAGCGCAAAGTTTTTTCTTCCTCTTCGGGGGTGGAGAGCCTTTTATAACCACCTCGCGCACTCACTCCTAGACTCTTGTCAGGTCGGGAATGAGTATTTCCGTGCTTTTGCCAGTTCGGGCGTCATCTCCTCTGCTGGGGCAGAATCGTCACTGCTCTTTTTGTCGAAGCCGTCTCTGTAACTGGGGGTAGCGGTGGCAGGTGGCCGTTTGAAATGCGACCGTCAAACGTCAGATCCCAAGTCAGTTAGGTGCGCCGCCCCTGGATACGGACTCCTTCGGTGTCAGGTACGGTGTGGTTTGTTCATTTCAATGCTCTGGAAGCGAAGTGCCTGGAGCGGTGCGTGAGGTGAAGTCTTGAGTTCGGATAAAGGGGGGTCCCGAACTGTCATAAGACGGGCCAGTTCGGGTCTCTGCTTTGGGTGACGGGGCCGAAAGGAGAGTTCGGGCTCCTCGTAGGGAGTTTGAACTCTAAGTAGGGAGTTCGAGCACCTTGCAGGGAGTTCGGGCTCCTCGTAGGGAGTTCAAGCTCTAAGTGGGGAGTTCGGGCACCTTGTAGGGAGTTCGGGCTCCTCGTAGGGAGTTCGAGCTCTAAGTGGGGAGTTCGGGCACCTTGTAGGGAGTTCGAACTCCAAGTAGGAAGTTCGGGCACCTTGTAGGGAGTTCGGACCGCTAGTCTCCTTCCTTTGGTGTTTGTATCCTCGGTACGCGGTTTTAAGTGTCGAGCTACTTGTTTTCTGCCATGGGGCGTGATTTGCGAGGTCGAGCCAAATCTTCCTTCATCAATTGCCCCCCACTCCTCGTGCTAAGGGTCTTGCCCTGGCGCGGGGAGTTCGCAAGGTGTCAAGTAGATTTGTCCTGCACTTTGAATCTTGGTTCTGCTGGCGCGAGGTGCGTTGTCAGGGTTTCTTGGGCTTCTTCGAGCGTCCACTTATGCGGGAAGCGCGTCGGCCTATCTAAATGCTGATAGATGTGGCGGCGCGCGCGTTGTTTCAAAATTTCAAAAAAAGGCGCGCCACTTAGGGGCGCGATAGCGGGCGTTTTTTCAAATTTGAAAAAGACGTGCCGCTGCCGTTTTTTTTGAGGAGACGTGCGCTGGTGTTCCGTCAGTTTCGAAAAGATGTGCGCCGGCGCTGTCAGTTTCAGAGAGACGTGC